AAGTGAATTTTAAATTAAGGATAATATCTTCACTTGCATCATTATAAAGATAATTATTATTAATATATATATATATATATATAATTTTAGAAATTGAAATTTCAAAATAGAAAATTTTTTTGAAAGATAAAACCATACCAAATAAGAGTTCAAGTCGTAATATAAGAGTCACGTCGTAATCAAAGAACCGTTTATATCGTGTCAACCTTTGTGCTTTGCCAGCTCCAATAGCAGTTAAAGCTAGAGGAGATGAGGTGGGAAGCAAGGAACAAACAACTAAGAAGTATACTGATGGAACAGTACCATGCAACTATGGTACTGCAGAGAAAGCAAAAGAAGATGGCAAGCAGGAGGAAACTAGGGCTAAAACTTGGGCAAATGTGGTGGGGGAAACAAATTGGCCATGAAGGGTATGAACCTTCAGTATATTGCCCAAATCGTGTAAAATGGTGAAAAAATTGTAAAAATTGAAGCTAAGGACATAGAGCATGAGACAGAGAAATGGAAGAATGCTATTGTCATATATGTGATAGGGGATTCCCCAACTATAGGAGCTATGGGCAGATTTGTGACTTCAGTGGGTAAGTATTCTAAGAAACCACAGATCTATTATCATAACGAAGATTACTTCATTATACGATTCTCTAGTATAGAGGAAAGGAACCAAGTCTTGTATTTTGGGCCACACACGATCAATAATAAGCCAATTATCATGAAGGCATGGTCGGAGGACTTCAATCTCCATGATGAAGTGTTAAAACAATTCCATTATGGGTTAAGTTACCAAACCTACCCATTAACTGGTGGAGTATGACTGCTCTAAGTAAGATAGGTAGTGCCCTTGGTAATTCCATTTATGCTGATGAGTGTACTACAGGAGGAGTTCGAGTTTCATATGCTAGACTACTTATAGAGATGGACATCACCAAGCCCCTTCCAAGGCTGGTGAAGTTATAGGATCCAAAGGGGAAGGAATTAGCCCAGGAAGTGGAGTATGATTGGGAGCCAAAGTATTGCAGTAAATGCTTGAAAATAAGACATGAATGTGATGAAAATAAGAAGCCAATGCAGCAACTAAGAAATGTGCAGCAGAAGAAGATAACTAAAGGCAAAATGATGTGGGTTAGAACTGAAAAAGAAAGAGGCAATATGGCAAAGGAAAATGAACAGACACAAGAGAATTCAAACAATAAGAGGGCAGTACTGGAACAAAGAGCTGAGGAGTTACAAAGCAAGGAAGCATGATGGATTACTGTGGTTGGCAAATCAGCAGCTAGAGCAGCCAAAACTAAACAAAATGAAGATCATAGTGTTGACAAAACTAATGATTTTCAGAGCTTGATGGATAACCAAAGAAATGAAGAAGCAAGTAATAGCCAACCTAGTAGCCAAGGAGACCAGGGGTATTTACACTATTCTTATTTTATTCCAGTATGAGTGTAATTACTTGGAATGTAAGAGGATTAAATAAAGTTTACAAGCAGAAAGAAGTAAAGGAATTCATTAGAGGTAACAATAAAGCTGTTATAGCATTAGTAGAACATAGGGTCAAAGAAATAAAGGCCACAGAAATAATCAAAAAAATAGCTCCAGGTTGGGAATGGATTTTAAATGCAAGAACAGGGCAGAAAGGAAGAATATGGGTATTGTGGGATCCTAGAATCTACATTTTTAATCTTAGTGATATGGATGAACAGATTATTCATGGACAGATTAGAGTGAAATCAAAACTAATCAGCTTTGGTTTCACAGCAGTATATGGACTTCATACCATCAATGACAGGAAAACATTGTGGCAAAAGTTGAGACAGATCAATATCACTCAGCAAGGACCTTGGATTGCAATGGGGGACTACAATGCTGTGCTACAGGTAACAGATAGACAACATGGGACTGAAGTGCGGGATATAGAAGTAAAAGACTTAAAGGAATACATGATGGACACATGAATGAATGAATTGCAGTATGTGGGAAGGGACTATACATGGACTAATCATCACACATATAGCAAGATAGATACGGGACTGGTGAATGCAGATTGGATGATGACCATGCCTAGCTTGAGAATACATGTGTTAGAGCCACTAATATCAGATCACTCTCCTTTGAAGTTGATAATCACACATTTGTAGACAAAGAAAAGCAGGACTTTTAGATTCCTAAACTGCATAGCTGACCATCCTCTATTTATCCAACAAGTTGAAATGGCTTGGAAGGAAAGAAAGGAATTTGGAAAGATGGAAACAGTTTGGCAGAAACTAAAGAAGACTAAGGAGTTGAGCAAGGAGATAAACATAAAACACTACAAGGGGATTGAAGACAGAATCAAAAAGACAAGAGATGAGTTGCATACAATATAGGAGGATATGAGCAACAAAATGCTAGATACTGAGCTAATTGGAAAGGAGAAAGAGTTGAAACAAAAGTTGGAAAAGTGGATGATGATAGAGGAGAGTGTATATAAGCAAAAATCAAGGGTGCAGTGACTGAAGTTGGGAGACTCCAACTCAAGATACTTTTTTGTTCAAATGAAACATAGGAACAATACTAATGGGATCCAGATGTTAATAGATATGGGTAGGCAACTAGTACTTGATGATGAAATAGAGGCAGAAATCCTTAATTATTACAGGAGACTCCTAGGATCCAAAACTGAATCCATTCCAGCTATCAACCTCAATGTAACCATAATGGGAACAATCCTTAGCAGAGAACAACAAATGAACCTGATAAGACAGGTAACCAAGGAAGAAATAGGGGAGGTTCTGAAAGAGATATGTGACATGAAGGCTTCAGGATATGATGGCTTTAATGAAGTATTCTTCAAAAAAGCATGGGGTACTATAGGGGGTGAGGTTACTCAAGCAGTTGAGGAGTTTTTTGTACTGCACAAATGTATAGACCAGTGAACTGTACTGCTATTACTCTTATTCCTAAAGTAAAAAATCCTACAAGTATAAAGGAGTTCAGACCAATCTCATGTTGCACAGTGGTTTATAAGATGATTTCAAAAGTATTAACTAGAAGGCTGTAGGGTGTAATGGATAACTTGGTAGATAATACTCAGGCTGCATTTGTACCTGGGAGAGCTATCACAGACAATATTATTCTGAGTCATAAGCTGGTTAAAGAATATGGGAGGAAAGGTGTATCCCCAAGATGTATGATGAAGTTAGACATGCAGAAAGCCTATGACTCAATTGAGTGGGAGTTTATGGAATAAATGTTATATGCTTTAGCATTCCCAACAAAGTTTGTAAGGTGGATAATGAGTTGCATAGGAACAGTCACATATACTATACTGATTAATGTAGTCCAAATAAAACCTTTTGAAGCAAGAAGAGGATTGAGGCAAGGAGATCCACTGTCCCCCTATCTGTTTGTGCTTGCCATGGAATACCTGACAAGGAGGCTGAAAATGCTCAACTACAATCCAGATTTTAATTACCACCCCAAGTGTGCAAAGATGCAAATCTTGCAACTTGGATTTGCTGATGACCTTTTACTGTTTTGCAGGGGAGATTTGAAGTCAGTCCAACTACTATATAATGGCTTTCAAGAGTTCTCACAAGCATCTGGACTGAAGATTAACAAAAACAAAAGTTCCTTATTCTGTGGAGGGATTACACAAGAAGACCAAGAGAAGATAATAAGCTTCCTGGGAATACAAAAGGGAGAATTACCTGTGAGATATTTAGGAGTCCCATTGAGCACCAGGAGAATCAGTATAGCACAATGCCATCCTTTGGTAGAGAAGATAGTAGGCAGAATAACATTCTGGACAACAAGGTTCTTATCCTATGCTGGAAGATTCCAGCTCATTAAAAGTGTCCTATTCTCAGTTTAGACTTACTGGGCATAAATTTTTGTGCTGCCAAAGAAAATCACAAAGTTAATAGAGGCAATCTGCAGAAGCTTCCTATGGACAAGTGAGAGCAATGTAACTAAAAAGGCCCTACTAGCATGGGAAATGATATGTATGCCTAAGACAACAGGAGGCTTTAACATAATTGATATAGCACTATGGAATAAAGCAGCTGTATGTAAACATTATTGGGAACTGTGCAGAGAAAAGAACAAATTGTGGATCCAATGGATTCACAATTACTACATCAAAGGCAAGGAAGTATGGGGTATCCAGGTGAAGCAAGCATCATGGATGATTGGGAAGATACTCAAAGCTCAGGAGACACTCGTGAAAGCTGGCTTTAATCATGAGGAAATAAGGAGAACTAAGAAATGCAACATCAAAACTATATATCACAGGTTGCGTGGAACATTTGACAAGGTGAGATGAAAGAAGACAGTATGCCAGAATTTAGGTTGCCCACGCTGGACCTTCATGCTAACATTGACAGCTCATGGTAAACTGTACACGAGGGATAGGCTGCAGAAGTGGGGCATGCATGTAGAAGAAGATTGGGTACTTTGTAGAACAGAGAAAGAGAGCATCCAACACTTGTTCTTTGAGTGTGAATACTCTAAA